TCAAATTTATACTCAATATTTAAAACATTTAAGAATAGATTTAAATTTAATTATTTATTTGGAATAAATAGGACAAAAGAGTGGTATAATGCATTATCCGAATTGAAAGAATCCTGTTATTGAATTTTAGAAAGCAATGAATAATGGCATTTTAGAATTATCAGTAACGATGATTCTGTACCCTGCTTTATGGAAGTTGAAGAAATACAGTCTCCAGTGTTCTCATTTCTATAAGATGCTGCTATATTTTGTTACAGTTTGATCCCTAGTGTAGTGGTGATATGTGCTATAACCTTTACAAAGTATGGCATAGGAGAAGGTCATTTGGTCCTGGGGCTCTATGCTTATATATGGACTAATGCTACCTCTTGAGAGTGGATCAAGTTTCATAGGACAGGACTAGTTCTCTGGAGGATGGCTGTCTGTGGTGAGTCTGGCACCCACCCAAACAAATGTTCTATGTGTGCTGTTCACCCTTGCCATGTGTCCTTCATTACCCAGATTCTGTCCTCTCAAGAGACCCTCCAGAGCCAAATCTTTGGAACAGCCTGTTCGTAAACTTCTAGAAGGCCAACTCTATAGATTTGGGGCCAACATAGGTGTGTCTTGCAAAATGTCATTTACAATTTAAAAGCCAATCTTTTTTATTCTCCATTAACTATTTGTTCAACTAGATTCATAACATGAGAGCAAGAATGAGTGCAGCATGTTACTTTTCAAATGTACATGCATCACTCTGTTTGTTGTTGGGAACCCAGAGAGAAGGACCCATGTTATTTTGAGAGGTTTGCAATGCTTTAAATTGTGAATGTTACAGAGGAAGCTTCAGCTCCTATAGAAATGAGGTTGCTGTATTTTTCTTCCCAGGAAAGCAAAGTACATGAGAGTTGATACAGTATTATTTCTTTTCTCCAAACATGGGTCATTACAACTCCAACAAGTGGCTTTGCCTGGAATTTGACTGGCAATTGAAAACAGAAGAAGACGGGTTTAATACATCACTGATCTTCTAGATGACAAGACCATGGCATTTTGATGAACATGACACAGTGATAGAAATGGTTTTAAGCTATAGGGTATAGAAAAAGAAAGGAGCAACTATACTAAATGAAAGTGTGTAAAAAAAATCAGCAGCAAGGAAGAATAAAAGCCTTATGGGAAGACCAAAGTAGGCTCTATGGATGCAGTAAAGGATGGGCGAAGAACATGTGCACTGAGCTTCTGAAAGCACCTGACACTCCTTTAATGTGTGGCATTAATGTGAACAAGAACCATGGTCATAAAGTAGCATGAGTTTTCAGCCTTGTGGCATGATTTTTAGGTATTATTGAAGTGCTGCGAGCTTCACTGAGTTCTGTTTGATTAATGCATTTTGTGCATAATTGGTCCTGGGTAGATTAACGTTTGCTATGATCCCTGTGCTGAAAAGGGTCAAAGCATGATTACAGTTTGTAGGAGAGGGTGAGTACTGTGAGTTTCATTTTTTAAATTTCATACACGCATGGTATGTCATGTAATAATGTCTGCAAGTTAGCACCTACACTTTGCAACATACAAGGAAGGCACTGTTTATGGTCAACAAGGGACAGGGTTTATTTAGGGTAGAGACATTCCAGAGAGATGTTCTATGTAGTGAACAAGGAAAGACAATAACTCCGTTGAGTGCTCACTCTACTATCTTAAGCTATGCTAGTTAACTGCTTTGTATATTGTTGTGTACGCTTCACAAGAGCTTTGTAAAGTGTACATTATTTTCTTCATTTCCCATAAAAGGCACCTAAGGCCAAAAAAAATATAGACAATCAGCCACTTAAGTCAACAAACAAACAAAACAACAATAAAAACCTACAAGAGTTAGCTCTACTTGTTAAATTCTATAAACAAACATCATCATGAAATTATTAGAAACAAGTCTTAATGGTCCATGTTTGATTCTAAGAAAGCACATTATAAAGTTCAACCATTTTCTCCTCTTAATATTCTATTACTGTTTTAAAATAATGATTTAGGTTTGGAAGAAACAGTTTGAACTGATGGACCTCGATGATCAGATCTTATTGGGTAGATCTGGGAGGACTTCAGATGGGGCCTCTTGCTCCCACTCTCAGGTAAAGTGGTCAGTCTGACACATCTCAGGTATGGAGGCACTTAGGCTCCTCTCCTCCAGGCTTGCCAAGAACAGCAGCCAAGTATAAGATCTGATCCAAATGGTCCAGCTGGCAAACTTGGGAACTGCCTTTGTCATTATCTATAGCACACCCTGGCCAATCTTCAGCTGACAGTGCTGAGGAGGAGGCTAAAGGCAAGGCATCCGTCACAGTCATAGTTTCATTGAATTTTTAATTTTTGTTGCCTGTTTTTTGCATTTCTGTCCTAGAGTTTATTTTATGAAAATAAATAGTAGAAAATCCATGTTCATAAACATAATATTTAAACTGAATTATTAAATTACTTCAGATCCTAATTGATGGTTTATTTTTTAGTAATGTAATGCAAATGCCAAATGATATCAATTTGTGGAATATTTGAGTTAACAGCATTACAAGTTATCTTTGCCAAATAGAATGATTAAATCATGGAAAAATATATCTAAATTTTAATATTTTAAATTCTAGTATTTTAAATTCACTTCTAATATTTTAAATTCAGTTTAATATCATCTAGCTGACTCTGCCAGCTGCACCTCTTTGGCTAGTTTTCTCTTTTCTTTCCTACTACCTCTTTCTCTGTTTACATAGAGTCATTTTGGGAGGAAAGTCCAGAAAATTGTCCACTTTCCCATGATTCTGCTGGGAGAACTGGAGGACACAGTCTGTAGTCAATTATTAATAGCTATTTGATCTTTCTCCTCATTTTCTTGTATACCTAGCATTGTTCCTTTCCATGCCAACTCCAAAGGCCTAAAAGTCCTTGACCTAATTTAGAAGTCTCTTTACTCTGTGGACAAACAGTTTTGTTGAAGTAACTCAATTAAGATGGAGATGATAAGTTTGCAGGTAGGTTTGAAAATTTTATTTGCAGTTGAATTCAGATGAGGTATAATGAGAAAGGGTCTCATCACGTGGCCTTACCTACCCTTGAACTCAGCATGTAGACCAAGCTGGCCTCAAACTCACCGAGACCCACCTGCCTTGTTGACTCCTGACACTGGAAGTAAAGATGTAAGTCACACTTCCGGCTTAGAATTACACAATTCATTATACATTATGCTAAATTATACTTTTCACTAATTTTTTACAAGAAAGTAAAAATTGCAAGTGCTGCTTTCAAAATTATTGTATGTAAATCTGTTAGATATTTCATTTTTCTACTTAGTGTTTTTTGTATTCCCCACTGTGTGCATTTATTAAATTGTAAATGAAGCAGTTAAAAAGAATCTCTGGTACGAACCGTGGTAGCACTATGAATTTCTCGTATGTCTTCACTCAATAATCAGTAACAAATAACTATTGGTAATTATGAGATTTAGTTATCAATCTCCTGATCACCCAGGTCAGAGAAGAGTTAGCATCAGAGTTGGTGGCCTGGAGTGAGATTCTGGCTTATTCACCCATAACCATGTGCTGGTAACTTTAAATCGCCAACTCAGCAGAACCTATCACAATGAGCTAAAAACCCAGTCACTCGTGGCCCCTTAGCTTAGAGCTGTGTTTGCTTGGATTTTCCAAAGTAACTGAGGGTTCCTGATTCCACAGTGCTATTGTGTGGATCAAGTGATCCCTGGTCACAAAAATACCCTGGAGACTGACTACCCTGGCGTCCAGGTTCTGATGTGGTCAGGCATTCCACATGCCTAGTCGATGAGCTGTCTTTGCCATGATGAGAGACTTCCTTCTCAGGTTTTGTAACCCCCAAGGAAAAGTAAAATGGAAAAAGTCATTTTAAAAAGTAGAAGGTATAAGAAAATGCATACAGAAATCTCATTCAATTAATTTCTTTCTGGTCTTTTAAAAAGATATTCTTGTCCAAACAAGAATTTTTTATAATGTATGCATAGAATTGCGAACATCTGCCATACTAATTTAGTGTGAGACGTAACCAGATATTTCTAATTATACCTTTGACAAGCACACATGGGATACTCCAGTTTTACTCTTCTTTTATGTGGGTGTTGTATTACGAAACACATTAGAACTGAGAGGAAAGAAACGACTCCTCCCCACAAACCAGTTCCGTAGACCCTTTCCTCGTTTTGGCCTAGTCTGTGATTATGCTTTGGAGAGTGAAATTTTTAGTTAACATATTCATTTTATGGTATCCTTGGCGTCCTGAGACCAATGGAGCCTACCTCCCAGTGTGACTGAGTCCCAGGCTGCTGCTGGGTGAGGCTGGAGTGCAGAGATCTTGCTCCGCCTAGGATCCGCCTAGGATCCTGCGCTGTGCTCCGAGTCCTACTGGACAAACGTGCCCGCTAGGCTGAATATGAAGCCTGGCACCGTCTGCCTCAGAAACTCATCCCTTGAAGGATAACGGGACTGGGCAGCGTGTAGTCCCGGGTTCCTCCTCATCTGTGTTTCCAGGATTTTACATGTTTTCACAAGGGAATCATGATTGAGTCAGAGGATCAGAGGAGTTCTTTCCCCGCCACCGTCCGGGGATTCTTTCAGGAAAAGGAACTTTAGCGTTCAGAAGACCGCAGCTGGTGATACTCCAGTCCGAGAGAAAAGCAAAGTCTTCCGAGTGAGGCTGCTGGAGCAGCTTTTAGTTGCTGACTAAGCAGAACAGGACTGCAGACAGTGCCGCGCCTGCCCAGACCCCCAAGAGGGAACCAGCAGGATCAAAACCGGAGCTCTTAGAAAGCCCTGCCGCTTGGAAACCATCAAAGAGAGCAGAGAAGGAGCCGGTGTGAGAGCCAAGGAGGGGCCTTCCGTTCCCCTCCTGCCTCCTCCTGTCACCCTCTCTCCAGGACAGCTGTCCAGCTCTTGTAATTCATTGGTTTTCCCCGCCCCGCCTTCAAAATACCACCCCAATCCAGTTTAGTCCCCTGCCTCACCCTCTGACCTAATAAGGCCATGCACACTGCAAGAGACCTATATAAAAGTCAGGACTCTGGGGACTTTGCAGGACACCTGGAGCAAGAAAAGGAAGAGCTGTCCAGCTTGGGAACCAAGAAGGTGACCATGGCTAAGGAGTGGGGCTACGCCAGTCACAATGGTGAGTGGAGCCAGGGCATTACAGGGTTGCCCTTGGCATTTCACAGGCATGCTGGAAAACGTGGGTGTAGGGGTAGTTAGGAAGTAGCATTTACTGACCATGCCGCTGCTCCTTTGAACATGATTCACTGTTTTCCTTTCCACAGAGGAATCTGAAGTTCAGAGACACACTGTAACTAGTCTAAAGTTCAGTGATGAATCTGAGAAGTCACTGGACCCGAAGTCAGATCCTATTGAAACTTACCCTGCGAAACTGAGCAGTGAACACTTGGTTTCTTTGAGTTTGGGGCCCCAATAACAATCAATGTTCTGATTTTGAGTCATCTCTCATCCATGGGCAAGAGAAGAAAAGTGTCCCCTGTAAAAATGTGATCAATATGTGATTCGTTTCAAAGATAAGCTTTCAGGCTTCATGATTCCCAAGCCAGGGGAGGGTCTGAGTGGACTGAAATACTCTTCGAGCATAGATAAGCAAGGTTCTAAATAGGTTTGGAACACAAAGTGCTATGTTGCTTAATCTGAACCCAAGACCTCTTAATATGAAGCCAAGACTACTCTCTGGTCTATGCATATTTTTTCTGGCTTAGTCCACTGGGAAGAGGCCTTGGGTTGTACTAAATAAACATACTCTCTTCTTTTTACTTCCTAGGTCCTGAGCACTGGCATGAACTTTATCCAATTGCCAAAGGAGACAACCAGTCACCCATTGAGCTGCATACAAAAGACATTAGGCATGACCCCTCTCTGCAGCCTTGGTCAGCATCTTATGATCCCGGCTCTGCAAAGACCATCGTGAATAATGGAAAGACCTGCAGAGTTGTGTTTGATGATACTTACGACAGGTCCAGTAAGTACAGCACTTAGGAAGGGTCATGTGGGTGTTTTTGGTATCTATTGTCAAAATGCAGTTTGTGGCAGAGTGACAGAATTACTGGGAAGAAGGACAGGCTCATCCCAGAAATGGAGATGATATTTAACCTGGCTCTAGTTGTAAAGATTTATATTTATGGAATGAAGTAGAATATCACACCCTCCAACTAATTTAGTTACTCTGTTGCTGAAAGATGAAGTTAAACGTTCATAACACACTCCTGAGACAGATTATGGTTGGGTAGGGAGTTCACGTGGACTTTCTTCTGACTATTGAAAGTTGAAGTTCTTGTGTTTCCTGATGGTTTGGAGAACAAGCTACCTCAAACAGAAGGAAATCAATTGGTTCTTCTCTTTCCTGGGTGACTGGAAAAAGGCCAATCAATGTGGAAAGGTAGGGATATTGTGTGAGTTCAGGTGACCTGGGTCCAGTACCTCACTGGGGTTCAACCAAAGAATCTTTGTGTTGAGTGTTTCTGATGTATATGACCACTTCTTCTTGGGTCAATGTTAGTGTAAAACTGGAAAAATAATATGTTTTTTAAACTCTACACTAGTATCCAATCTTTGAAATAAATAAGACTAATTTGACTTTATTTCAGACAGGCTTGGTGGCTCTCACCTATAAATCCAACACCCAAGAGACAGAGACAAGAGGACTGCCACAAATATGAGGCTAACCTGGTCTTTCTAATGAGTTTGGGGCCAGTCAGAGCTAAAGAGTAAAAATTTGCTTCAATTAAGCAAGCTTTTATTTCCTTGCAAATAAGTCTAAGTAAGAATTATTCTTTAGTTATCAAGAATGCAATTTCCTAGAACCATGTTCTTCATGATGAGTTAAAATGAATGAACATCCTGGTGATGTCATAAGAAATAATGGTAGAATGGCCATTCCTACCTTCTAGCTAAGGGAGATGACTGAAACTTACCATTTCTTGAGCAATTATTTCAGGCTGCTCTTTCCCACTTTTCCTTTGCCTTAAAAGCTGAGGTTCCATTTGGAGAAAAAAACAACAACAAAATTAAAAACTACAAACAGAATCACATAAAATACCATTTAAAAAAACAAAACATTGAATATTAGAGATTTAATATAGTTTAGTACAATAAGTTATACTCATGTCCTGATCATAGTTATTCTCAGTGATTGGACTAGAAACAAACCAAAGCACCTGCTTTCCATTTGATCAAGCTGGTTCAAGCCTAGAATTATTGCTCTAGGTCTGCACTGTGGATTTCCTGTCTCACTGCAAGAAACCAAGCCTTTCTAAAATAGCTGCTGTTACAATGTTATTTGCATCTAACTTAACATTGGTAGATGTTAGAGTTAGAGTTTCTGTACAGTTTTCAGTATCTTTTAGAAGACATTTGAACTTTGAAATTATTCTCCAGACAGCATGACTAGAGATCAAATTGCATGAGACATTTAGATAAGTGTTGTACAAGCCCATACTAATGCCCCAAAATTGTCATATATTATATTTCATATATAGCATATATCATATTTCATATATATATATATATATATATATATATATATATATATATATATATATCAGCCCACCCTGTCTAGCTTCCTGGGAAACTGCTGAAATTTTGTTTCATCTGACTTGAGCAGTCATAGTCTAAAGTAGATGTGTATGTATTGTCCTCTAAAGTAAAACACAACTGAAATTGGAACACTATGGAGGAGTCCCCACCTGCTCAGTGTCCCCTTCCTCGCAGGGCACTGTGAGAGAGCACCATTTAAGTGCTTGATCTCAGTTAATCCTCACAGCAGCTTGCAAAGTGTGGGATTATTAACACCTTCTTAGAGATTCAAAGACCAGTTCAGAGAAGTTGAGTGTCTTGCCTGAGATCACACAATGATGTGTGTGGACTCGGAAATGGTATCTAAATCCTGTCAAATACCTAGCTCTTCCCTGAACTACTAACCTATCCTCAGGGTCCTATAGTACATCTGCTACTTTAATTTGTTTCCTAAAGTGTTAAAAAGACAAGAAAAACAAGCAAAAATAAGAGAGAAAGGAAAATTCTTCCTTTGATATATTTGAACTTTAAGTTACAAACACTTGCAGATGGCTCCATATTCTCAGGAGGTGACATCTTTTACCCATGGAGTCTTCTGTAGAGTACTGGTTTCAGATAAGGCTCTGCAGAGGGATGGGGACTCATCAGTCACCTTATCTTACTCACAGTGCTGAGGGGTGGTCCTCTCTCTGGACCCTACCGACTTCGCCAGTTCCATCTTCACTGGGGCTCCTCAGATGACCATGGCTCTGAGCACACGGTGGATGGAGTGAAGTATGCTGCTGAGGTAGGAGGAACCACCCTACCACACTAGGTCTCAAATGGTCAAAACTGGAAACTTAGAAACAACTGCAGAACCCATTCTGCTTCAAGCCGCTCACTCACTAAGTGAAGCCCCACATAAACTAGGACAGAGAAGAGTGGACCAGTGGCTCAGAGCTCTCAATGAAGATTCTCCAGATTAGATTGAAAAAATGGGCATAGTCTTGAAAGGAACCAGGACCAGCAAGGCAGCTAATGTGTGTGAGACTAATGTGTGCTCTAGCTGATCTGATCCGCACCACAACAACTTGTAAGAGGTTACAGATAAGCAACATAAGGTTACATAATAGAAGCAGTGTGGCAGGGCCTGGTCTTCTTTGTACAGACTGGCTCAGGTACCTCTTTTATGGGTACATATAATGCTTCAAAAAACAATACTTAGCAATTAAAAAAAAATCCTTACTTTCTGCTTACTTAAGGAAGTATGCTTGTATGTATATGCATCTTGTTTATTTAAGGCAGTAACTTGCAGATAGAATAAGACAGGGTACTTCCCATTTTCATTAGAAAATCAAGTCTGTATTGCATTACCCTAGAGGTGAGCAAAATTCGCTTTTTTTCTGCTCTACTCTTTTCCAAAGCAGATGTTGGTAAGGACTGGTTTTGGTTGGAAATGTGAGCATGGCAGCACACTTCAGCTGATCCATTTGGGGGCATCACTGAGTACTTAACTGTTGGTTAAATAAAACTTGATGAAACTTCAAATACTACCCAGGCCTTATCTGGTTGGCTTCCAAATTAGATGAGATATAACACATTTAGGGTGCCACAGCCATTTCTATATAGCCAATGAGGTAGAGACTAATAAATTATTAGGACTGTCTTCCTGAATAGACATTGCCTTCACTGTTGGAGAAAGCTCAGGCTAATTTTTTTCCAAATTAGAAATAGGCTTTGAGTGTGATGTTTGTACATGGGTTATCTCACAATTTTGGAATTGAATAAAAATTTTTAACAACTATAAACCATTATCTTGCCATTTTAAGGAACTAAATATGGACAACTCGATTACTTAGGCTGTGCTCATGTCCTAAATTAAGATAAGCTTGCTGCTAGACACTAGAGTCTGTCAATTAGGAGGCAAATGATTTCACACACTTTTTATTTGAACTATTAAAATTTCACTGAAGCTTTGCTTACTAATAATTAGAATTTCATCAACTTCCATGAAAGTGTTCAGCAACAACCTGAAGGTTGCACACATTTGAGTCTCTTGTGGATAATAATGCTCATTTCTGTATCCAAGGATTTTTCTCACAACCTGTGTTTGGTGGTTGCAGCTCCACCTGGTTCACTGGAACCCAAAGTACAATACCTTTGGAGAAGCTTTAAAGCAACCCGATGGAATTGCTGTTGTTGGAATTTTTCTGAAGGTGAGGTATACACTGATGGTAATTTTTCTCATTCAGAATGTAATCCAATACTAATGTTTTGAGACCACGCATTCCATCTTTTCCTTGTATTTGAAACATGCGTGAGAGTAGAGAGGCTCAGAGTTTATGAAGGGAAAGACAAGGACAAGGGTGTGTGAGTCTGACATGTGTTCATATTCTTTTCACACTGGAAACAGGAAAGTCAGTGCTGGAAACTTCTGTGATGCCAAGTGACTGGTTGGACCTACCCTCAGCTTAAGGGGGCCCCCACCCACAGGATCTCAGGCGCAAGGAATGCGTGTGTTGTCCAGCCAACCTTGGTTTAAAGAGGACTTAGTGATATTAACACATGAACTTCGTGGTAACCCAATCTGAGTTTTAAGCCAGTGAAAGACCTAGTTTGTTCTATGTTCTGAATCCACAGAGAGGACTATGAGGGGAGAGACAATAAGTTCAGTTGTGGAAACATTATCTACTTTTGCTTTGGCTCTTTTAAAAAATGGAATCTCTTTGCAGAAAGGGCCAAGGAAATAGAGTTGAAACCAACATATAATTTTGTGGTTTTGAACTTCAGAGAACTGAAATTCAAATTTAGATTAGAAAATATATATTCTACCATCTTTTAGGATGAATAAACTTATATTTGGCTTAACCAGTGACCATGGAAGATTTATAAAACACCAATAGCAAGTAGATGGGTCAAATCAGCTTTTATGATGATCTCCAATTATGAAGAAGGGAAAAATATCTTATTGGATGTCTATTTTCTTACAGATAGGCCGGGAGAAAGGAGAGTTCCAGTTTATCCTTGATGCCCTGGACAAAATTAAGACCAAGGTAAGAGAAAATCATTTAAGTATGGTAAACTTGAGTCAGAACATATCAATTGTCTTCGAATTTCTGGGAAAACCTGCCACTGTCTGATGGATGCTATATGTTTGCATATAATAGTAAATATCCTCATATTTCTTTAGTGTTGAGTCCTTAGAGCACTTTCACATCTGTTATTTCATTTGTTGCTCAGCCTATGAGATAAGGACTTTCCACAGGAAGGTGAGTGAGACGTTTGGGGTCTCCTTCCCCTCTCCATGGTGGGCACAGGATCATTGAGGTTCCCTATGCCACCCACTGTCATTCTTTAATCTTGGTATTGTAGTTTTCTGGTAGCTCCTATATAAGCTTAATATTAACAGTATTCTTCTAACTAACAGACTTACTTATCTGTTTTTGAGATTATTCCAAGTAACGTTTTTTAAGTGTGGACACTAGAAGAAGTAAATATTCTGAGCATGAAATGTACTGAAGTCTTCAAATCAACTTCTAAGAAGTGTTCTTCATTCCGAGTAATCCCTGTGAGAAAGGACAGAATCGCAGCCCCACAGACCATAAAAACAAGGAATAAAATACTGCAGTGACTCTAACAGATCGAGTCAGAATATAAAGCAAAATCCTTTTCATCTGAGGTTTACTAGTGAAGGGCCTAAACCTGTTCAAATGGCAGCTTTTCTTTTCGCTGGTGAAATCCCTTCTCATAAATGAGTATGTGAAGCCTCTAGGGGGCGCAGAGTGCACGTGTCCTCTTAGAGTGCTCTGGTCTTCTAGGGCAAGGAGGCTCCTTTCACTCACTTTGACCCATCGTGCCTGTTTCCTGCTTGCCGGGACTACTGGACCTACCATGGCTCCTTCACCACGCCGCCCTGTGAAGAGTGCATTGTGTGGTTGCTGCTGAAGGAGCCCATGACCGTGAGCTCAGACCAGGTGAGTGCAATCACAGGTTGGGCATCAAAGGTTGTCAGGCTTGTCATAAGCACCTTCACACACTGAACCTGTAGACTGCCAAGGCATAATATGTTTTTATGATAATTTCCTATTTTATGATACTTTAAGGAAAAAAAAGGAAGGAAGTGGTTAACTTTTGTTGTTTGTTTTTCGAGACAGGGTTTTTCTGTATGGTTTTGGCGCCTGATCTGGAACTGGCTCTTGTAGACCAGGCTGGCTTTGAACTCACAGAGATCTGCCTGCCTCTGCCTCCTGAGTGCTGGGATTACAGGTGTGCGCCACCACTGTCCGGCCTAACATTTTAACATATGGCCTGGTTTTAATTTTTTTTTCTCGTCCTTTAAAGTAATTTCATAAATACTTAAGTTGGTCACACAACGGAAGCCTATCAAGGTTTTTCTCATTTGCAAGCATTCAATAAACCATCATCCCTTTTTATGTAAAGTGATACACCTCATGCTGGCCCCTCAGTTTACAACCCGGGAGAAATGCAGGTGGGAAAGGTGGTTATCCAGAGAGCAGGGCATCCTGAATGTAAAGAAATGCTTATATTATGAACTGATATTTGCCAACTCATGACCTATCCATGGAGACTGGGTCTGTGGTTTGCGTGGCCAGCTTAGAAAGCCAGTGGTTTCTAACAATCTGCTATCCTTTACAGATGGCCAAGCTGCGTAGCCTCTTTGCCAGCGCTGAGAACGAGCCCCCGGTTCCCCTAGTGGGGAACTGGCGTCCTCCCCAGCCCATCAAGGGTAGGGTGGTGAGGGCCTCCTTCAAGTGAGGCTCTGTTTCCATCCTCTTCAGGAAAGAATACCTGCCCCCTGAAGAGTTAACTGCCTCCTGGTACTCTGTGCTCTACGCTACTCTAAAACACCTAGAGAAAACAAGATGCAGTCGCAGGAAACCGCAATGCCTTTGACACTATCTAACCCAGAAGCATGAATTTCACCCCTAACCTTTGCAACAACTATGTTTTCTATAAAATTAGTATTTCTAGCATGGGTTCAATGAGGAAGAAATAGAAAAATAGAGATATGGAACTTAATGAGCATACTAAATTTCTCAGAACCTCATGGCTCCTGTTTCCCAGCTGAGTTCGGTCATGTTATTTATATGTGTGGGTATGGAGGCATGTGCCCACCCTACCACAGTTAAGTGAAGGCACAAGTTAAGATCATTGTGTTTGGCCTCTTAAATGCCAGTGAAACTCCATCACTCATTAAAATTTTGCCTACTATGAAGTTTGCCTGGTTTCAATTGTCTGTAAAACACACACACACACACACACACACACACACATACACACACAAGAACAAGTGATTTAAAATGTTTGATCCAGCATTTGAAATTTTCCTTCATAAAGATGGTTTTCTTTGAAGCAGGGCTATTTCTTTTTTACTTCACTACTTTCATTTTTGCATGCCTATTAAAATAATAATAAAGATAAGAACTCTCTCTGGTGTCTTTTGAATTTGAGGCTGGAATGAATGATTCCTAGAATAGGAAGGAGTAGATGACAACTGAAGCCAAGAGTTTCTACTGTCCCAGAAACTATAAAGACAGGATGCAAATGAAAAGTGTGTGTATTCTCTTTTTAAACTGAAGTCTCAGATTAAAACATTTGTTTTAAGGTAGCATATGAAGTGATACATTTCATTATGGCATTTTCATGCATTCGAGTCATTATACTTTATTCTAATTTAGCCAGTCCTTCACCACCACCACCCATCACATCTGTCCTCCAACAGTTCCCTCTTCTGATATAACATCACATGAATCCTGTTATCCTCCCCTTTAAAGATTTATCTCTTCCTCCCGCCATGATCCCCTTTCAAGTTTCAAGACCCCTTCTATGTCCATAGACATATATAATTTTATGCTTAGACTTTATATATGAAAGAAAATATTAAGTATTTATCTTTCTGAGTCTGACTTATTTCCTATAATAAGATTGGGCTGTGTGTGTCCAATTAATGGAAAAGCTTTATAAATGACAAAAATGGAGGAAACTGAGAATGACAAACTTTCCAGTTTTGTTTTTTGTAACTGGAGGATAGCAATAAAAGACTCTCAAGTTCTGAGTTCAGATGTTCCATCCTTAGGAAAGGGAACAAGGCAGTTGGTAAGGGCATCTAACTAAACTGCACACCTGAGCAGACTGCGTTGCCAATCTCATCATGTGACAGTTCCCAGTTGGACAAGTTGAAGCTGGGTTCTGGCATTCAGATCAGTGCAAACAGCTAGTACTCCTTTTAGGCAAGAAAGCATCTTTTATATAATTCTTCAAAAAAATGTACTTCAGCATTATATTTCCCAACAGTGTAGAAATGCATATATTTAACTTTTAATCCATTTAATATCTCTATATACAAAGTTCAATTGTGATAAGGGATCATGCCAACGTGGCCAACTAAATCCACTTAAAACCTGAGAAATCTTCAAAAGTAATTCTAGACACAAAAGAACAGAGTTAAGCATAGCTTCTTGGTAGCCTGCATTTTGCTGGCTGCTGGCAGTGTACTGCAGCTCCTTTAAAAGAAGTCTTCCTGGTTCAGTAGTAACAGAAAAAAAAGCTGCCCCATTTTAAAAAGGCTGCTTCCTAGGCTATGCTACCAGTACAAACTCTGATGAAGTCTGGCTTTGGAGCATTTAAATGGGGGTGTGTAAGCAGAATGCTACAACTCTGCGTGCCTAAAAATGGGGCAGTGTGCATGGTTTTCATAGGCAGTGAGCAGTTCCACCATGCTGGACTGGGCAGAGCAAGCAGGAGGACTGTGTGTGGAGTTGGTCTAAGCCCTGCACACTTAGCATTAAAAAAAAAGTGCTCCTGGTCAAAAGATAATTACAGATACACAATAAAGACAAATTCAGATGGAAATGACCTCTAAACGAGTCACAGTGTTGAATAAATGTATGTCAGCTTGGGAGAGAGAGAAGAAAAAGAGTATAGAGAGTTATAAAAATAAATGGGTTTACAGACAAAGGTCTGATCTCCAAAATATATAGAGAACTCAAGAAACTAGACTTTAAAATGCTAATTAACCCAATTAAAAAATGGGGCACTGATCTGAACAGAGAATTCTCAACAGAAGAAGTTCAAATGGCCAAAAGACACTTAAGGTCATGCTCAACTTCCTTAGCAATCAGGGAAATGCAAATCAAAACAACTTTGAGATATCATCTTACACCTGTCAGAATGGCTACAGTCAAAAACACCAACGATAACCTTTGCTGGAGAGGCTGTGGAGGAAGGGGTACCCTCATCCATTGCTGGTGGGAATGCAATCTTGTGCAACCACTATGGAAGTCAGTGTTTCGGTTTCTTAGGAAATTCGGGATCAACCTACCCCTGGACCCAGCAATACCACTCTTGGGAATATACCCAAGAGATGCCCTATCTTATGACAAAAGCATTTGTTCAACTATGTTCATAGCAGTATTATTTGTAATAGCCAGAACCTGGAAACAACCTAGATGCCCTTCAATGGAAGAATGGATGAAGAAAGTATGGAATATCTACACATTAGAGTACTACTCAGCGGTAAAAAACAATGACTTCTCGAATTTTGCATGCAAATGGATGGAAATAGAGAACACTATCCTGAGTGAGGTAACCCAGACCCAAAAAGATGAACATGGGATGTACTCACTCATAATTGGTTTCTAGCCATAAATAAGGGTCACGGAGTCTATAATAGGTGAATCTAAAGAAGCTAAGTAAGAAGGGGAACCCAAGGAAAAACATATAGTTATCCTCTTGGCTAAGGGAAGTAGACAAAATTGCCGGGGAGAAAATTGGGATCTTGGGGTGGGGTGGGTTGGGGGTAAGGGGAGATGGGGAGAGAAAAGTTAGAAGGGAAGGAGGTCGGGCCTTGGGAAAGCAGGAGGATTGGGATAAAGGAATGTTGGACAGGGGAGCACGGAACCACAATTCTTAGTTAAGGGAACCACTTTAGGGTTGGCAAGAGACCTGACCCTAGAGGGGCTCCCAGGTGCCCAAGCTGAGGTCCCCAGTTAGTTCCTTGGGCAGTTGAGAATAGGGAACCTGAAATGACCCTATCCTTGAGCAATACTGACGAATATCTTGCATACCATCATAGAACCTTCCTCTGGTGATGGATGGAGATAGAGACAGAGACCCACACTGGAGCACTGGACTGAGCTCCCAAAGTCCCAATGAGGAGCAGAAGGAGGGAGAACATGAGCAAAGAAGTCGGGACCACAAGGGATGCACCCACCCACTGAGACAGTGGAGCTGATCTATTGAGAGCTCACCAAGTCCAGCTGGACTGTGACTGAAAAAGCATGGGATATAACTGGACTCTCTGAACATGGCGAACAATGAGGGCTGATGAGACGCAAAGGACAATGGCACGGGGGTTTGATCCTACGTAATGTGATGGCTTTGTGGGAGCCCAGCCAGTTTGGATGTTCACCTTCCTAGATATGGACGGAGGTGGGAGGTCCTAGGTCTTACCACAGGGCAGAAAACCCTGACTGCTCTTTGGATTGGAGAGGGAGGGGGAATGGAGTGGGGGGAGGGGGAGAACGGTGGGAGGAGGGGGCGTAGGGTGGGAGGAGGGGGAGGGAAATGGGAGGCTGGGAAGAGGTGGAAACTTGTTTTTTTTTCTCCTTTTCTCAATAAAAAAAGAAAAAAAATAAATGGGTTTAAACAAAACAAAGTCTTTAAAGACACACAGTAAGACAGTCATAGATTAAAGGAAAAAGATCATAAAATAAATATTTAAAAGTAATAGAATAATAACGAATAATCCATGTAAAGATGCAATATACACAGAACATTTGGATTATGTATATTATTGTGTTTCCTTTGGATTTTTTTTACTGTGAAGGACCTAGTACAAAGAGACATTTCATTGTATGGGCTGCTAATCTAATCCAGCATATGTGTTCTAAAGGTATCATGATTTCCAAATTTGGGTCTAAGGATTTGTTGCTTTGGAAAAGAGGTTCTGCTTTTGTTTCCACAGAAGATAAGAACCTATGGAATCCTTTTCAGACTAATATGGTTTGATGGACTAAGACCCTCAAAAGGTCATCTGAACACCCCCCAAAATTACTTGGCCCACAAAGAGCAGGAAGAAGTTTGGAGAGAACTACACCCAAATTCTTTAAATGATTGTTTATAAATGTTTGTTTACATTTAAAGGATATGTTATAGCAATGTACATTGGTATGAATCTTGGTTTATTGATACAAATTTAAGGTCAGTTTTGTTATATGCCTATCTCTGCTCTTGATTAAGGTATTGTGTTTGTGCAGTTCATTTAAAAATGTAATGTATAATTAAGAAATATAGGTTAATAGAGAGTCATCTATAATAGTCAAGTTTCTAGTCATGTTAGTTAGGTTTTCTAGATATATAGAGATATATGGCAGTTAGGTATTCTTCAACTCTTTCAGAGACCTTAAGAGCATGGCATTTATAGTGCTTTAAGAACTTAGGACTTGGGGGCTGGAGAGATGGCTCAGTGGTTAAGAGCATTGCCTGCTCTTCCAAAGGTCCTGAGTTCAATTCCCAGCAACCACATGGTGGCTCATAACCATCTGTAAAGAGGCCTGGAGCCCTCTTCTGGCCTTCAGGCATATACACTGACAGAATATTGTATACATAATAAATAAATAAGTATTTAAAAAAAGAACTTAGGACTTTTTATGACGTGAGACACATCTCTTCCTGGTTCCTGGCAGAACCAATTACTTCAAGAGGAAGATGGGCATTGAAAAGGCTCCTTATGAAGTTTGCTAGCCATTGGGGCAAGAAACTGTTCTTCCCTGGACTGCTTGATGCTATGCTGTGTGAAGTGGACATGCAGGACCAATGGCTGCTGAACTTGCCTAATTATGAGATGGTCCTTTGGGGTTCCTGCTTCATGAAAGAGTCTGTCAGACCTTCTGCAGGACACAGAAGAAAGTTACTGTCAATATGGATGGAACTGTCTTTAAAATTTCCTGCTTCATGGAAAAGTCTGCTGGATACTATGGGCCTGTAGGCTGAAGATGGATGACCCAATGGTACAGAAGAACTTTGGGTGACTGTCCAGGCAGGGAGATGCCTCTGTCAGCTCTAGCATTCTGACAGTAGCATAAAATGCACTTTCTGTTTACTTAGGTAATATTATATCCTTCTGGTGTCTTTGATGGAGTTGAAGTTACAATTATAGTTTTCCTTAATTATGACAAAAGATAAAGTAGATGTAAATTCTTTAACTATAATTAT